GAGGCTCCCCGCGCCCAGACCCCAGTTAGGGGGCCCCGGGTCCAGGCGAGCCCGGCGGCGGGCACCGAGGGGCACCAGGCCCCCGTTTAAAATCACCCGGGAGCCGGCCCGTGTGGCTCAGCGGTTGAGCGTGGACCTGGGATCCAGGCGATCGGGGTTCGATTCCCCATCAGGGCACATGCCTGGGTTGGGGCTCGATCCCCAGTGGGGGGCCTGCAGGAGGCAGCTGATCAGTGGCTCATCATTGATGTTTCTCTCTCCCCCTCTCCCTTCCTCCCTCTGAAACCGATAAAGCTATAAAATAAATAACGATCACCCGGAGAGGCCGCGTCCAGGGGATGACCCCAGCTCCTCCAGGACGCAGCCAGTCCCCGCGAGGGGAGAAGGCTGGCGCTGGGGCAGGGCCGGCCCAGCAGTGCCACCCCGTGGCTGCCAGGGGCGCTGAGGAGGCCGCCCTGCTGGGCTCTGGCAGATGCAGGCCTGGCTGGTCCACGGAAAGGTGAGTTCCCTGTGCTGCTTGTGAAGGGAGGCGGCCGCCCGCCACTCACGGTTTCCCAGTAAACACCTTCATATCCATCATCTCGACCCAAAAGGCCAGTGTCTCACGGCCACTTTACAGGTGAGGAAGTTGGGGACTCATTCAAGGTTGGACACTCATGAGTGGCAGCGTTAGGACTGGGACCCCACCTGTGGGCCCCCAAATGCCCTCAACGGCTGTAACTGAGCCAGTACCCTCCCAGGGTCCAGCAGGCATGCTGGCCTCGCGTGTCCTCCCAGTGTGGCACCCTCCTGAGCCCACGCGGAGGAACCTGAGTCCACACCTGCCCACCGCCCGCCTCCCTCCTCCATCCCTGCCTGCTCAGAGCCTCCTGAGTCTTTCCACAGCCGCACCCTCATGGGCCTCCCTGCACCCCCAGGTGGTAGCTCGGACCCTCACCAGGGGCGGGCATAGCTTGAGGAACACATCTGAGGACAGGGCCCCCAGCCAAGTCCAACACCGGACGTCTGCTGGCCATCCTTCCGCAGCTTGGCTGCTGCAGAGAGGGCCCTGGGCCGGGGTGGCCACCCGCCAGGCTCCATTTCCTTAGAAGAAAGAGCTGCTCTGTGTCGGGGCAGCACCTGGCCCCTCCATGTGTATCTCAGCCCTGCTCAGTTTAGCTCTCTCACTGAGCCCTGGAGCCCTGGGGCAGGGTCATGCTTCTCATGGGTGGCAGTTTGGTCCTCAACTAATAATAAAGGGGCGATCCGGGCCAGGCATTGGTCCAGGCACTGGGGATGAGGGGGACACCTTCTCATTCACCTCCGGGCCCCCACCCCAGCCCCCAGCATGATTGATGTTTGGCACACAGCGGGCTCAGACCAGTCACACACAAATGACTGAAAACTTAGCCTAAAGTATGAATCACCAACTGCAGAATGACTCATGTCAAGGAACACTGGGGAGGGCAATGACCCAGTTGGTCATATTTGCTCTTACGTCCCCAGAACCCACCCAGGCTTCCTGGAGGAGGCGGCAGGCCAGTTGGGCCTTGAAGGATAAGTGAGAGATCAACAGCCAGAGGAGGCACAGGTGGAGGGAACAGCAGACGCGAAGAAGCAGGATGGGCCTCCCAAGTCTGCACACGCACACAGGCACGCACATGCACGTCTTCAATAAGGGCTTGTTTCCAGTTTATACAATTGCATTCAAATCAGTAAAAAAGAGTAATAACAAGAGAGAGCACCACAACAGAAAAATGGGCAAAAATTGAGAGCAGACACTTCACCGAAGAAGACATCCAAGGGGCCGGTAAACACAGGGACCTACACTCAACTTCACTAGTGATCGGGCCAATGACAGTAAAACCCCGGAACATTCACCCTAACGGCTGTGTAAGAAAATCGTAGGAAATGCCAAGTGTTGGCCAGGGTGTGCAGCAAGCAGCCCCAGCACCCTGTGGATTGGCTGGTACAACCTCTGTGGAAATCCACTGGGCAGCATCCACCAAAACCGCACATACACAACCCAGGACACGTGTCTGCCCTCCGGGGTAGGTCCCCAGCAGAGATGCACACACGTGGCCCCCAGAAACGTGTCCCGGAATGTTTACGGCTGTGCTGTGCATGACAGGCCCAACTGGAAGCCAGTCCAATGGCTGTTAACTATGAACTGGATGGGAAGTGTGGAGAACCAGAAAGCAGTGAGCACACGGAGCCACAGGTGTGGTGCTACACAAAGAACCCATACGAGCCTGCTTTCGTCTTGATAAAGATCCTAAACAAGCCACAGGAATCCGCTCCGGGGGCGGCTGGAGTTCTGATGAGGCCCTAGTGGACGTGGGGGCTGGAGGGGGAGGGGGTTGCCGAGGGTGGGACGGCAGCTCTGGCTGGAGCAGGTGGGGCGTCAGTAGGTTTCTCCAACACGGGGAGCACACTCAAGCCTGGTTGCACATGAGGCCCCCCACCCTCCAGCCGCACTGTGCCCAGGCCCTCAGTTTCCCCATCTGCCGCCCTGACACCCCATCTGGACAGGCCCGTCTGGGCTCTGTGGCGCCTGCCTGCCTGTTCACCCCCTTGTCATGGCCCCAAGATCCCAATCACCGCTGGGTAATAACAGGTGTTGGCCACAGGGCTCCTTGTGGCCTTCAGATGGCGGTTTCCTGTGGGCAGCTACGCTTGCCAAGCACTGATACCGACAACTGACCTTGATGCCATCCAGTGTTTCTCTCACAAACCAGCCTGTCACTATGGCAACTGTGTCCACCCTTGACCCTCTATTTCCCCCAAATCTGGAGGGGATGATGGAACCCTCAAGGGTTGATGGGACCAATGGGACACTGCCTGAAGGTCTTGGACACTCTATGTGCAAACCCCCCCACCCGCTGAGCTGAGACCCCGCGGGAGCTGGACAGAATGTCACCCACACAGGCCACCTCACCTGTCTCATTTTATCAGCCTGACTCAAATAGGCTCTTCGCGCCTGTCCTGTGCGGGCACCTGTGTGTGTGTGGTGTGGTGCGTGTCTGTGAGTGTGTGTGTGCACGCACATGTGTGTGCTGACTCTGCCGTGCTATCTAACCGCCTGGCACCGACTGTGGGCAGTTGCTCTTCCCTGGGACCTGTATTGTTTATGTAGGACCACGTCACCCCCAGGGCAGTTCCGAGGTTCTAAGAACTGGGTTAATGAACAACCCGGAGTCACTGCTGCCTGGGATCCCCTGGGGTCAGTCAGGGTGGGGCTGCCTGGCTGTGGCAGCCAAGGGGGTGACCTAGGGGGGTGGGATGGATGGCAGGGCTGGACAGTGGGCTGGGTCTGAGAAGCCGGACGAAGGGGAGAGGGGCACAGGGACAGTTCCCAGTCATTGTTGATGTTGTTATGCAGGAGAAAGTCAGAACTAGAACTTCTGGACCTCACAGGACAGACACTGGGGACAGTCCCACCCCCTCACCCATGGGCAGAGGTGATAAGCAGCTCTGGGGAAGGACTGCAGGCACCCACACTTCATTCACCGCAAAAGAAGCAGTAAACTAGATCCAGAGGTCAGCCTGGGAGGGTCCTCGGTTCGTCCCCCACCCTGTGTGCAGGCTGCAAACCCGAGGCTCAGCAAGAGGGGGCTCACCAGCTGGCTGAGGCCTCCAGACCCCTTTCCTAGTCAGTCTGCACTGTGTGTGTGTCCATGTGTGCTCTTGCTGACCACGTGAGTGTGCGCAAAGAGCACCTTGAGCTGAGGAGGTGTGGCCTCTGCAGGGTCCCTTCCCTCTCAAGGTGCCCTTGGAGCCTGCTCCTAGGAGGGTGCTGGAGGGCAGCCACCCCACTGACCTGGATCACGGTGTCCAGCCCCAGCTGGGACTGCTCTGCTGCATCCCCACTGCCAGGCTCGCTGGAGGCAGAACTCATCTCGGCTGGAGCACAGGACCCAGGAGAAAGCCGGGCTCCAGGCAGGGCGTCTCCTCCTGGGATCCTGGCCAGGACCTCCTTCAGCTCACCGGCCCCTCACCTGTGCAGCACCTGCTCCCCTGTCCTGGGCTCCCAGCTGCCCTCTCTGGGTTGGGAGCTTGTGGACGACTGAGGCTTAGGCGTTGCTGTGGCAACCACGACGCTGAGGCCTGGGTTTCCCTGGAAATAGGAGTGCAGGCCTTCTTGCCATGGGGACTAAGAACGCTGTTGTCTGGAAGCCGTTTCTCCGGAGACCTGGAGACGCCCTGGATGAAGCTGTCCACCTGAGCAACCACACCCAGGGAGGGGCTGGCCTCTCCCCACGGCCCCCACACCTGCGGGGAAGGGCCCTGGGCCTTCCTCTGGGCAGTCACCCTGGGGAGAGTCATGTGCTCAGTGGCCGTGCCAGTGGATGTGGCGTGCAGACCACTGGTTCCTCCTGAGGAGAGTAGAACTGTGATGCTCCCTAAGATTTGGGAAAGACCCGAGAGTTCAACAGGGCTCTGGTGTGTAGCAAGTGAGTAAACCGAGGCCTGGGAAAGGGAAGCCACCTGCCCAAGGGCCAGAGGAGGCCTTGTCCCCCTCACCTTGCTCCTGGCCGCGCCCTCTGGAATCTGATTTCCCTCTGGGCCCTTCAGGGTATCTGCTCCATGGGTAATGTGCTTCATCTTTTAAAAAGATATGTTTTTATTGATTTTAGAGAGAGAGGAAGGGAGAGGGAGAAAAAGAAACATCAATGAGAGAGAAACATCGATCAGCTGCCTCCTGCACACACCCTACTGGGGGATCGAACCTGCAGCCCAGCCTGGGAATGGAACCAGCGACCTCTTGGTGCCTGAGACTACACTCAGCCAGCTGAGCCACACTGGCCGGGCGGCTACGTGCTCCATACTTGCCAGGGGGGGCTCATTCCGGCTCATTCACCTGAACCGTCCCAGAGCCACACGAAGGACCAGCAGAGACATTCCCAGCCTATTCATCAGGCTGGTGGCACCTAGTCCCGATGGGGGAGGTGAAGGGAGAGAGGCAGGGTGGTGGGTCCCTGCAGATACAGAGCTCTGTCCCTCCCCACTATGCTTCCTGGGGCCTCTGGACTGAGTCTGGCACTGGATGTCCAGCCAGGCCAGAGTCCCACCCCACCTGTATCCCCTCAGGGCATCCTTGTTCCAAGCAGGACCTACCCCAGCTGGGCTGATGCTCTTGGGAAGGGGCAGTGCTGGAGTGGGCCCTGCGGCCAGGAGCAACTGTCCCTCTGATGAGAGGAGGCCATTTGGGGGCCCTGGGGATGGGGTGTGTCCCTCCGAGGCCACCAGTGGGGATGGACACTGAGTGGGTCAGCATATCTGTCCCCAGGGCTGCTGGAGGGCAGAGTCAGCCCGGGCCTGGGCACAGCCCCAAAGAATTTTCTGGAATGAGTAGAACGCGTGATGGGGTCCTTGCCATGCAGAGAGCACCT